CCCCAAAACCCCAAAACCCCATGAAAACAATAGAGATCTTATTTAAGGATGATCATTACTAAATATCATTAAATTTGTTTAATTCGCCTAAAATGAGAGATTTTTAGACATTACTATTGGTTCTTGGATTGGGTTTTGTAAGATCAATTCATTTTGAACTCAGCCTTGACTTTATAAAAGATAAACTAAATGAAGAGCAAGAGTTCTTGCAAGGATTACTAAAATAGAAATGGCAATCTTTAGGTCATTCAGAAAATATAGCACTAAATTTCTAGTCCTTGAAAGCTGAGAATTCAAAAAGTTCAGATCCAAATCATGGTGTTGAATTCACTCTAGATGGCATTGTAGGCAGTAATCCGTTTACATCTGTTGTTGATATGACATATGTGAGACTTCCCCCATATGGACCCTTTGTTAACGATTTGACACATTCTCTTGTTATTCAAGGAGTTGAAGATGAAGCGCTTAGATCTGATGTTCACAAAAGTGTTGACTATTTTATTCTGTCACTACAAAATTACACTTATCATCACATTAAGGACTCATCCTAGTACTTTGCAGCATTACATTTTGCCTCCCATAGCTTAGTAAGACTATCATCTAGAATGTACACAGATGGACTGTCAGTTTTTCTAGATTTATCATCAAGCGATCTATAGATTACTAAAAATACTAGGGAGCCTTCTAAGCCATATGAGAAACTAGATAAGTAACATAGATACTTTGGCGTAAGTGTACATGACAAGTACTTAGAGGATGTTTTGGTAGATTTAATAGAAGTAAGAAAAGAGCTCTGCATCCACTACGAATTGAATGCTCGTAATCTTTCAAGCTATAACAAATACTTGAGGTTGGGGGTAATTTAGCAGTTGTTCCCAGAATTAGCCGAGGAATATGGCACAGATACAAATTTCACATTTGTTTTTAACTCCATAAATGCGACCATTTCTCAAAATGAAACAGTATTAAATAATAATAAAGTAAACTTCAAAAAAGATTCTGCTGAGATAATTATCACTGCATCTTTTGCCTTTAAGGTACATGATCCTAAGACCTTCGTTCCATTTTCAGACATTGATTGGTGGACCCTTGTGAGAACTGGAGTGTTTAGTATTTCACTATAATCTTTGATTAAGCAAAACCCTAAAAACCCACTTGAATTCACACTAAAGCCTAATGTTTAGCTTAAGAGATTTGATATGATAGATCCTAGAATTGAGGATGAGGAAGAGCAAGTGATGGAATTAGAGAGCTAAGCAATTAAGGGCATAGGTAACCTTGCAATCAAAAAGTTCATGAAGAAAGCGGTAACTGAGCTCTCTGAGGAGCACCTCAATTATCTCAACTATGCAGGATTTTCAAACTTGATAACATTAAACTTGAACAATGGATTGCTAGATCTTGTTTTTAACAGACACTCACCCCGCAAAGATTTCAAAGTCGATTTTGACGTTAATCAATCTACTGACGGTTTAAGTTAGGCATTTGAAAGAGCAGTTTGGAAAAGACAACAGAAATATGAAAAGGATTTAAGAAAAAATCAAATAGTACAGGAGAAGTAGGAGAACAAGAACGAAGAAATAAAGGTAGAACTTTGATTAGATGTTTTCTCATTAAAAATATTTAACATTATTTATCTTTCACAATATAATGTTGAAAATTTCCAAACAGATTTTAGTTAGTGGGGTTTTGGGGTTTTGGGGTTTTGGGG